ACTGAAATGGAAAGCTTTCTGATGGTAGGGATGTTGTCTTGTTAATCACTGCATTCTTTTTTTTTAATGTTTATTTATTTTTTGAGAGAGAGAGAGACAGAGTGTGAGTGGGGGAGGGGCAGAGAGAAAGAGGGAGACACAGAATCCGAAGCAGGCTCCAGGCTTCAAGCTGTCAGCATAGAGCCCCACGTGGGGCTCAAAGTCACAAGCCACTTGAGCCAACGTCAGCTTAACTGACTGAGCCACCCAAGTGCCCCTTAATCATTGCATTCTTAGTGCCTATTACAATGCCTAGTAAAGAGTAAGCCCTCCATAAATATGAAAGAATGAATGAATGTAGGTACTTAGCTTTTTTAAGCTTGTGACAAAATAGTCATTCTCATAAACTTCTGTAGTACTGTGGATTCTGACAGCATTTTGGGATGTTATCAAACTTGTCACTACACTTCTAGAAATCAGCTACCTACAGAAATACTAGTCTTATATGCAAAGATCATTGTTTATAATTTTTAAAAAACTGGAAAAAAGATAAATATGCAGCCAAAAAAATGTTGAAATAGATACTAAGGAAAAGTATGATGCTACTAAAAGGCATTGTTTTGTTTTATCATGGAAAGATGTTTATGATAGTTGAGAAAAAATGCATGTGAGAAAGCAATATGAATAGGATCACACAGTTAGTAAAAAAGAAAACCGTATGTGTGGGTCTGCGTGTGTGTTTGCGTCTTTTTTGTGTGGATTTGGATGTGTGGGTATGATGAGGACAACAACAAGTTACTCTAATTTTACTTGATAGTTTCAGGTATTACTTTGGTAACTTTATAAACAATAAGGAAAAACGTTAAAGGAAATAGTCACATATTCAATTTTCATGAGTTCTAAGACATCGTATCATCTCTTTATAGAATGTGTGCTAGAAATCAACATCTCTTGACTTGCCGGAGACTACACGTACACTTACCAAACCAATACAGCCAAAGATTGTGTATGTTAACGCAACAGAAATCTCAAAGGAGTAAGAGAGCAGTAAAATACGTGAAACTTCCCTTCCAAGTTTCTGAAAACAGAAAATAGGGAGAAATCTTGCATTATTATCTTTAGTAAATGCAAGTACATTCACAGAAAGAGCTCCTACCATGACAAAGAAAACGGGAAAAATAAGTAAGATGCTTTCACCATCTGACTTCCCTAGTCATTTTCTACTCCTTTGCCTTTGGCTCCACTTTTCCTAGCCTTAATTCCCCCAGTTCACCATCTACAGCTTCCGTTTTTGATCTTCATCACTCAGCCTTCTAGTCTTGCGTCTTAGAACTCTTCATTCTTGTTATTCTCTTCATGACAAGGGGCTCTATCCAAACACTTCAGTCAATAAGATTTGATTCTTCTGTCTCCAATGGTAAGATGCCTACTAAAAGATTTTATCAAGCAATCTTCACGTATTAAAACAACTATTGTTAATTACAGACCTACTTAAATGTATCTGTGTGGTGATAAAAATATCACATAGAAATTGTTGGAACATGATGTGGAAGGATGGGTAAACACTCAAACACCAGCATCTCACTTGGAAGTATAAGGTGATTATGATTTTGCTGGGATAATAAAGCAGATCCCTTCTGTTGTTGTCAGAAAGATATTTTCCTTTTTTTTTAAATATAAAATTTATTGTCAAATTGGTTTCCATACAACACCCAGTGCTCATCCCAACAGGTGCCCTCCTCAATACCCATCACCCACCCTCCCCTCCCTCCTACTTCCCATCAACTGTCAGTTTATTCTCAGTTTTTAAGAGTCTCTTATGGTTTGCCTCCTTCCCTCTCTGTAAAGAAAGATATTTTCAACTACATATCAGGATGAATGATACTGGCCTTAATCCTGAAAATAAATGTAGTTTTTGTGCTGGCTGTAGAAAGACAAGAATGATATGCAGATGTGGAAAGAATAACATTACAATTTTCTCTCCTTCAGTTCTTTCTCTTCCTCCTTCTCCATTTTCATTCAGTTTATTTGATATCTTTTATGCAAGAAACTATTAGGTGGTAGGGAATAGACGGTAAGAATGAAATGACCAAAAATTCTAGCTTTCTTAAGGTTTATATTCAAGTAGAAAAGACAGATAATGTAAGGTAACATATGATAAGGTTAAATATATCAAAAGGGATAAAAAACTTGCTCGGTAATTTTAGGGGACCAGAGGTTTACCCTAAGCCATTCATACCTAGGAAGGCTTCATAAAGAGGTAAGACATTGGAAATAGGAGTAGGACTGAGAAAAATGAAGGAGGGATGCAACATTCTAGGCAGCTTTAAATTTTCATTTACTAGTTTCAGTGTAACCTATCTTGTTCTGGAAAAAATGTAATAGCACACATTACAAGTGTGACAAAATAATTAAGAAATGGAGACATAAAATAGTAACGATAATAAAGCCAAAATACGTATCACACGACCTATGGTTTGATAATGTGAACAAAAAACTGAATGCAAGAATGACCGTGTTTTGGGGCGCCTGGGTGGCTCAGTCAGTTAAGCATCCAACTTCGGCTCAGGTCACGATCTCACGGTTTGTGAGTTCAAGCCTTGCATCGGGCTATGTGCTGACAGCTCAGAGCCTGGAGCCTGCTTTGGATTCTGTCTCCTTCTCTCTCTGCCCCTCCCAACTTGTGCTCTGTCTCTGTATGTCTCTCAAAAAGTAAATAAAAGTAAAAAAAAAAAAAAAAAGTAAAAAAAAAAAAGAGTGACTTGTGTTTTAAGAAAACGATAAAGGGAATTTAACTCGGGTGTAGGGAGTGCATGATGTTAACAGGAGGATAAAGAAGAGACTATAGAGGGTTTGAAATGGCAAGTTACCTTATCAGAATTCTGATCTAATTTTGTTGGCAGAAACACAATTGTAGCATTTTAGCTGGAAAGTTCTGGTGACCTCTTAGCTGCCAAGATTGTAAAAAGTCATTTTGTCCACGCTCCTTAATTTATACATGTGAAGTGTTACTCTCAGACAAATTCTCCCCGCTTTTTGCCAGAAAAGTTCAAACAGGCAAACAGCAGAGAGTGACTGAGTTCTTGACACGTGATTTAAGCCTTTGAATCCCACATAAATCAGTGAGTGCCCTTTTCTTGCTTAAGTCAATTTGCATTGTATTTCCTGGCACTTACAACCAAGAGAGCCCTAATTAATAAAAATTAGAGTAAATAATAAATAGTACTTGGTAATTGGGAAGACAGTGGAGAGACAAGGGTACAGGATTACATCAAGGTTTTGAGCTCTGGAGGCTGAAATAAGGGAGTGTTGCAGCGCAGTACTTTTGAGGAAGCAAATATTTTCCATTTTATATCTGTTGAAATTCCGTTTGACACCAGAAGCATATCCATATGAGATATACAGGCATATTTGGAATTACAGGCCTGGAGTCTGGGAGACAAAGCAGTTTAACTAACAGGTATATGTTATCATTTGCTCCATTGACACATAAAAAAACTAAGGAACAGGGAAGTTAGGAAACTTGTCCATAGGGTCACATACAACGAGTATTAAAGACAGTGTTTGAATAAAGTCAGTCTGGTTCTGGATTTATACTAGCAACCATTTTCCTATCTGAGAAGTATGTTTCAGGGGCATGCACTTTTTGGGATAGCTGAACCTACCTGGAAACACTGGTAACTTGATGAATTTGTGGGGTTAGCCAAGCAACTTGCTTATGTTAGAAAAGGTGGCATATGGAAAATATTGTAAAATGTTGGCTGCCTTAGTAAATGCAGGAGTAGAATTCTATAATGCCTCCAGGAAAAGATTGTGGGTCTAATATATAAGTTGATTTCATGTAATTAATCACAGCAAACAAAACTGAAACGTGTGCATTTGGGAGACTGAAATTGATCAATACTGAGTTCAGGTCAGCACTGATGGTCCCTTTATAATACAGTGCAGGTAGAGAGCGCGATGGGGGGAGTAGGAAGTTCATCCCTCATCTACAATGACTCTTCTCATTAGAATTATTTTTGGACTAAAACTTTCAAATTGTTATTTTTTGTTCTGTTGTTCGGAAATAAAGAGGAGGGGCATCTGGGTGGCTCAGTCAGTGAAGCGTCTGACTTTGGCTCAGGTTAAGATCTCACGGTCCTTGAGTTGGAGCCCTGTGTTGGGCTCTGTGCTGACAGCTCAGAGCCTGGAGCCTGCTTCAGATTGTGTGTCTCCCTCTCTCTCTGCCCCTCCTCTGCTTGTGCTCGGTCTCTCTCTTTCAAAAACAAACAAACATTGAAAACAAAATTGAAGAAAAAGAAAGTAAGGAGGAGCCCCACTCTAGTATGTTCTCATTTGAAATGGAAGATTTTTATTTATAAGTATTGCTGAAGTCTTTTGCAGCACTAATATTCTGGGATTCTGAATTTAAAGCCAACACAATTGAAACAGATTGTGATATCAGTGAAGATACTCATATTTAATGGAAGATGTTACTATCTTACAAAGAAATGCAGTTATTTCTCTAGTACAAGGTATACGATTGGTTATTCGATTAAATGGAAGCAAGACAGATTCATGTACATTTAGCATTTGAGGACACAAGGCAAATTGATGCGAGACACAAAAATAGGCTGCACATGAAAAGCTCTGGGTTAAACCAGAAATTACTAGGTGTCAACAAGTCCAACTATAAGCATTGGTAAGCAGAATTCTTTTGTTGATTTTGGGAATCGTTTTAAGGTCTAGGATTATACTTTTCTTTCATTAAGAGCATCATCAGTGACCCTACGTCTAATGCATATACACTTATCACTGAAGCCTTCACATTATTTACTTGATTTGTTTTAATTAGGCATGTCAGGAATTCAAACATTCTAGTAATATTTACCAAAAAATCATGTCAGAATTATTTTTGAATTAAAATTTTCAATCAAGGGGCGCCCGGTGGCTTGGTCAGTTAAGCACCCGATTCTTGATTTTGCCTCAGGTCATGATCTCATGGTTCATAAGACTGAGCCCTGCGTTGGGCTCTGCGCTGACAGTGTGGAACCTGCTTGATATTGTCCCCCCTGCCATTCCGTCCCTCCCTTGCTCATGCGGGTGCACATGTACTCTCTCTCTCTCAAAGTAAATAAACATAAAAAAACCCAAAATAACTTTCAATCGAGACCTTATTACTTAAATAAAAGAATTTCCTGAAGACTAGTAAAAGCTTTGTTTTACCTCCAAAGGCTTTAAAACCTTGGAAGAGAACTGTTTTAAATTAAGACGTTCCTAAGGAATTGGCCACTTACCGCTTGTCCATAATTCCTATATGACACCGAATTAAAAGAAGACAGCTCAATTATTGTTAGAACTGATGCAATAACTGAAGTAATTATGCATGAGATGTTCATGATCAAAGCAAATGTAATCTGTAAAGAAGATATATGGAAAGTTTGTTATATTCAAAATAAACACTTTGGTTGTTTGTACTGCTGAAAAAAATCATCTAGTCAAAATGCTGATCTAGTTTCTGAAGTTTCAGAGGTGTTAGTATGCTTGCCATTAGAGTAAAATATTTTTCTGGTTTACATGATACCCAGTTAATCTGGAGGGAACAGTGAAATATCACACCAATAAGCATCAGTCTTCCATTTGGGCTTAAAAATGTTGTATTTTACAATATTCTGGGTCATATGAAAGAAAGATTAAGATAGGGTTTGAACAAAAGGAGTTCCACTGCAAAGAGGGAAAAGAAAAAAAAAGATGGAAAATGACTGCTTATAGAAATAAGTCAAATAAGAGTCAATGATTTTTAACCCAGGATTTTCATTCTCTAGGGAGATCCATCAGTATCTTTGGATGTAAGATTTTATCTGTAAAACTGTGAGATCAGACTCATTGATTTCTAAGATATCTTTGAGCTCTAAGATTCTGAGAGTTTTTTTCTTTCCAATATCTTACCTGTACCATAGATGGATCCTCTGGGTAGATCCTTTATCTTATTACAAGATCAAATACTATCCCCAAACTAGATAGACAGTTTGGAAAATAAAGTTTTACAGTAGTATTATGTCTATACATAAAGGCATTATTAGGTCCTATTAAATTTTTTCTACTAGTAAAGTTCATACAACGTTAAAATAAGATAGAATACTAAACCAAAAACGCCCTATCTTTAAATTTAGAAACCTTTGCATAATGATACTGACCACTATAGAATGTCTACATTAAATTATGTGTTCCTAGATTTTCACTTGATTCTTTATTTTACAAGCATGGCAGATTCCTTCATTGTTTAGATACTCACTAAAACCTTTTAGTTTTGTGACAAGTGATTTCTAGGATACCCTAAGCATCTCCACTTACCACGCCTGGAGTTGGATGCTTTGCTACTCTTATTATGGAGACTCCTGCAATGATAAACTGGATATAAAAACATATTTATAAATACTCATTGATGATGCTCATCAACTTAAAACATATTTTTAACAACTCCTCTTCTAAGTCAATGATTTTTAGACTACCAAGAATTATAAAATATAAAGAGGTTTCAGTAGAAGGGATCAGGACAAGTTTCCATCATATAGTCATGAACTGAAACGTTATAGCAGGGTCACTTATCACAGAAACTTATGGGGAACAGTGGGCAGAATTCAGGTTGTGGGTTATACCAAAGATGACTTCAAGAGCCCCGAGTCAGGGACCAAGTTTGCTTATATCTGCACAGACTTTCTGAACTCACTTGATTATTATTTCAAATGCTATCCTTCCTAATAAATTGAAGCCACTGATTGTAATTACCGTGCATATATCCAGATGTGGAAAAAGTGGTTCATGAGTCTATTCCAAATTGTTTGTACAAAACATACCTCTTGAGACTGTAGTCATTATTAAGGTAACAACTACATTTCAAGTTTTTGCCTTTTTTTTTTTTTAAGAGTTTCCATTATTTCATACCAGGTTACTTTGTCTATTTCCCAGAAGTGCAAAGCTATGCCATATTGTTTGAAGGTGAGCTGTACAATTCCCTTGATATATTCCTTTTGTCTTATCTGTTTTAGGCATTTTCACAAAGATCTAAGTCAAAGAATAATTTGTGGAAACACAGCATTCATGCTATCCCGTTTACAGGAAGGCCAAACCTTGAAGCTTACTAACTCCTAATTATCTTTAAGGATAACTTAAATCTGCACACTCAGCACTTCATTATGTAACATTCTGTAAGCTGAGATTTCTAAGAAGTACACAGTGAAAGGAAGAACTAATATAAAGGTGAATTTTAAACTAGAGTGCTCTCTAGCTAATTACCAAACCATGTGCTTCACAAAATACCTTTCAAAGTTTATGACCTCAGTGAGAAGTTTTGCATTTAATTAAATTTGATTGAAGTTTTAGATAATTTATTCTAGGAGCTACACATGCTATTTTTGTAACATGTATGATTAAACGCTGAGGGCCATGAATCATTTATCTGGATTTTGACTGCAAATTCACTATTCTGTTCTGTAAAGCAATGCATTGACACTTGTGAACCAACATATAAAGGCAGGGGATCTCCTAGAGGCCACAACTTTCTCTATAGCCCTCTCAAGTGGTGGTCATTTTCTCTTACAGCCCTGATACCATTGGTTCTAGGCATAAGATAAGTGGTCTCCTTGCTTCTCATTATTACTTTCAACTCTCTCTCTTGTCAAATATTGTCAGATTCTACCACCCACTATCTGTCCTGGTTGAAGTCATCTATTGATGACTTGGTCACTCCTCTTGGTGATTTTAATTCTTGTCTCACTCTCTCACACCTCTTACATCTTGGTAATTATCCTTCTAACACCCTGGGCTTGTGGTTCTTTGACTTTTTCTTCTCCAGACCTCCGACCCCATCCTATCTCAGTCACTCACTTCCATATTCATTCTCTTGTGCTTGTTTCTACCAATAAGTGCAACATCTTTCAAATTTCAATTTAAAGTATCCCACTAGGACCACCAGCTTCTATCTCTATACCTCATGCCTGTAGTATCACAACTCTAACAGTCCTTTGGATTGGATTTATAATCGAGACCCTCACCTCTCTGTTATATTCTCTCCTTTGCCAGTTTAAACTCCATGGTCAACACTACATTCACTTACATACACCTTCAACTCCTTTTCACAGTTCTTGTTTGATCACAGATCATGGTTAAATCCAAATCCTGATAAAATGCAGTTCTCCTTCCTACCGAATGCCTGCACCCATGTGGCCAAACATGATCTAAGACACACAACCATCGTGACCCATCTCACTACACACAAATCATGTTCCTAAAGCTTAAGTGAGCTCTTAATGCTTAGCGAAAGGCAAACTACTTTTCCACAATGCATGCACTCTCTTTTTCTGGATGACTATTTCATATCCTTTCTTCAAACAACCAGTCCATTATCCCATTCTCATTCTCAGCTCATGATCTGACTTCCTAATTCACTGAGATATCTGAAGCCATTGGAAAAAAGTTCCATAAGCTCCCAATGTCCCATCTACTTGCAAATCAAAATTTGTCCTTTCTGTTCCTCTACCTTTCCATCCCATTACCCACCTTGGCTCTGTTTACATTATAGATGGACAGTTCTTTGTTGTGGGCGCCATCCTATATGTTTGTGAGGTATTTAGTCATATCCTTGTCTTCTGCCTGCTAGAAGCTCACCCCAGGTGTGAAAACCAAAAATGTCTCCAGACATCACCAAATATTCTCTGAGGGGCAAAACCAGCTCTCATTGAGAACCACTGCTAGAGATGAACTGCCCATGGACCTAGCTATTTTATGTATTAAAATTCATCATCTCTTGCCTACACCAGTACATGATTCTAATAATCCCAACCTGCTTCCATTTATTTCATATCCATTTTCTCTCTTCTGGTTCAGTCCCCTCGATAAAAGACATGATACTTCCAACTTACTGAAGCAAATAAGCAAACCCTCTCTTGACCCAAAGTTCCCCGGCTACTACCTCATTTCTCTACATACACTACATTACACCGAATTCCTTAAAGGAGTTGTATCTGCTGTCTCTAGTTCTCCTCCCATTATTTCTTAATCCAACTCCAGTCAGGTTTTTGTCCCACCATTCAACTGAACCTACATGTCAAGTTTATTGCTGGCTTCCATATTGCTAAATCCAATGGTCAATTCTCAGCCCTATTTGGCAAAATAACAGATTTCAATATAGTTTATCTTTCCTTAATTGTTTACTTGGCTTTGAGGATGCTGTACTCTCCAAATTTTTTATTACTTTATGGCTGTCTAGAAACCACAGAGTACACACATTAGAAAATGTGAGTGTAGACTCATTGTGTGAAGAAGGACCCTAAATATGAAAACTAACCAGGCTAATGGCTATTATAATTCAGATTCTTTGTCTTCCACATATCTAAGGACAATCCAACCTGTGGTTGTCACAGTCTATTCCCTCCTGTATCCACATCTCTTATAATAGCACTGGTAAATTAAAGGGTCTCAAAAAATATCTGGAGAAAAAAGGAATTTGATTTTGAATAAGTTACCAACATGGGATTTACTTACATAATTCTGAAAACTCTGTTTAGAAATTGTTCCCTATCTTCCACTAGTGGCACGAATAGTATTTACAGCATGATGAAATCACATAAATATATTCTACTCACGATGACTCCCCATAAAGGACATCCTGCTTTGTAAGTTATAGGTTCGTATGTGCCAAAGACTCCTCTAATTTGTCCCATATACAAAATCAGTAGGAAGTACCACATGAAAACATGAAATATGCCAATCATAATCTGGACAGCCTGTGAGAAGAGAATGGTATTAGTACTGAGACCATGCAATTTACAACATAATTCCAGTAAGTGTTAACTAGAAGACACGTTCAAGGTTCTTATGAAAGATAAAAGTAAAATAGCAATGCACTTACCATGTATTTTCTGGATTGGTTAGCTTCAAAAGAGAGCCCTAACTAGAAAGTACTGAGGTCTACCAAATAAAGTAAGCCATACTTGGAGCGGCAGAATGTTCAATGATAATTCTGGTCAATTCTCTCATAAAAAAGTTGACAGTCTGACTCTACTACTGGCTGTCTTCCCTACCTATCAAGTAATGGCAGGAGAGGAGAAAACTGAGGGTATTTGAGGAAAACTGTGGTTCTAACTGATCTGCATGCAGGAAGCCATGTGGCCAATATTTGCTTGTACATTAGTAATTTATTAAGGTTGAGTCACTTTTTGCATCTTTTATTTATCTTTTCTTTCAATGCATACTTGTTGTGTATCTTGTTCACAAGCATGCTGGGGTGAGGCATGGTCCAACACAGAAATACAAAGAGGGGCACCTGGGTAGCCCAGTCGGTTGAGTGTCCGACTCTTGATTTCGGCTCAGGTCATGATCCCAGGGTCGTGGGATGGAGCCCTGTGTCAGGCACTATGCTAAGTGTGGTGCCTGCTTAAGATTCTCTCTCTCTCCCTCTGCCCCTCCCCTCCCCATGCTCTCTCCCTCTCTCTAAAACTAGGGATAAAAGAAAAAGAAAACAAGAAATACAAAGATTTTCCAATGTAGACTTGCTTGTACGAGGTCTTCCTATTGGATAGGGGAGGGGTTGTGTAGGGGAGAATTATTACTCAACTTTAATTTGTAAGAAGATAATTATAATCCAAGTAAATAGGTGCCAGTAAATTTATTTCTCAATTTATATGTGGACTGGTATTTCATATATTGGATCACATTTTTAACTACTCTTTAAAAATTTCAGAGGGTACATTATTTTCACTTTAACATAAATTTTAATAGGACACTGCTTAGTGTTTTAATAGTTCCAGCTCTTGGTAAAGCAAGTAGTCTAAAAACACATAAATGCAATTGGCTAATATTAGAGATACACTTTAGAGAATTTTCTTTTATAGAAAGACCACTTTTGGGTAACAACGTTATGCATTTTTTACAGATTTAGAATTTAGGATTTCCTCTGCATCAAATTTGGAAGAATGGCATTATCTACAGAGATTCTTTGGATTTGACTGGGAGAAAATCACAAAATCCTTGAGGGTCTGGACTTCAGTTATCTCCCCATTGTCACCAGCCTCTAATACGGTGCCCCGCATAGAGCAGGCATCCAGTAAATACCTCTTGTAGAAGCACATCAGTATGAAGAACATTAATTCCACATGGCTTTCCAACTGTTAAGTGAGTGGGCTTGAAAAAGTGTCTCCTTGGCAGTTTTCCTGTATAATACTATGAAACATCCAAGTAGCCAAAGCTTGAAAAGGACTCTACAAGAAAGCAAGGTTGCTAGTGTGTGAAGGACAAGATGGGTTTTCTTATTTAAAAGTGGTTCTTAACCTAGAGTCAACAGATGGGATTCTAGGAGGTCACAGTCCTCTTCCCCCAACACAAAAATATGAGGGCCAAAGATTATTATATACACATGAATCTGGGGAGAAGAACCCCAGAACCTTCTTCCTATGTACAAAGGGGTCTGCGACTACAAAGAGATTAATAACCTCTGCTGAACAGTCAGGTGGGAGACTTAGACAAGTGATCTACACAGCAGCCAAGTTCAAAGGAAAAGTTCACATCCAGTGGAGAAGTTCTTTCTCCTTCAGATATGAAAGGGCGTGATCTTCCTAATTCCTTGGTGTTTATTAAGAGCTAGCTAAGCTCTCTGTTTATAACTTAAGAGACGAATTAGTAACCATCCTCGTGCATAGACATCAATACAGTAATTGAAAGAGATCAGCAATGGATCTCTCTCTTAGTTAAAAAAAATACCATGTCTTTGATTTCTTTTGGGATTTATTTATTACCCTGTGTATATTGGTTTAGTCAGTATGCTTATATCTAAGCACGTATTTCTTTATGAAGAGACAGAAGATCAGTCAAACTTTGTAGAAGGCAATTAGCATTAAAAAACATTTTTTGGGTGAAGGGGAGTGGGAGATACAGGCTTCCAGTTTTGGAATGAATAAGTCACAGGAATAAAAGGTACAGCACAAGGAATATAGTCTATATCATAATAGCATTGTATGGTGACAGATGGTAGCTATACTTGTGTTGAACATAACATAACATAGAGTCATGTTGAGTCACTACGTTTTATACCTGAAACTGATGTAACATTGTGTGTCAACTAAAAAAAAAAAAAAAACCCAAAAATCTTAAAAGCCCATTTTTTACTTTTTTATCTTAACCAAATATGCCCCTCTTCAGATGGAAGATCCATCCTCGCTCAACTGAAATAGTGCATGTTCCTGAATTTAATCAAGAGCAAAGTCTTACTTACCCCTAAAACAAGACCGTCTGCTGTAGAGAGTTTTGAACATACACATACAGCCATACTACCAGCATTTCCTCTAGATGATTATGCTTCGAATCTTTGGTGATATCTTTATTAGCAAACTTCTACAAAACAACACAAAACACATATACACGCTTTGCTTAGAAGAAAGTTTGATTCTTTCCCTACTGTTTCACAACCACCTCCCCAAACTCTGAAGCAATTGCTTTCTTCTTTCCCTGCCTTACTTTGTAAAGGTATCAGTTTGCATCTGCCTGTTCTGAATAACAGCCTCCATAAGTGAAAGGTCTCTATGACTAAAAAGTATAGGTATATTACAGTTATTTTTCCTGAGTGGGCAACAGTGGCTCTGGATGATAAGGTATAAAGAACACCCAGGGAACAGAGCTAGAGAATTTTCAGTAAAGCTTTTACAATTCATTTGCAATGTGTAATCGATTCAATGCAATTAATTCATAATGCCATGTTTGCATTTCAAACCCAAGTTCTTGTACTTAAATTCATCATGGGCTCATGATTTTTTTTCTTTTTTTTCCCATACACATTTGCTATCTAGTTCTTCTTTCTGTGTGAAAGAACTTTTTCTGCCATCAGACAACTTACCAGAGTTGCTTCTACAATCCTAAAGGCTTCTCCTATTCTTTTGTTATTGTTTTGTTTTTTCCTGTTATTCCTGCATTTCTCCCTCGTGTTCAGAAAACCTGGCTAATAATTGTATCCTTTATGGATCTGATGTTACATCGTCCTACGTCTTCTAACATGTCATACTTAGGTCAATAACATGAATCATGCTACTTAGCCCGGTGATCATCTAAGGTATGATCTTAAACCTTGAGTCTTGGTCCTTTCAGAAAGGAGGGTTTGAGTAAATGATCTCTCATTCCCTATACTCTTAAAATCTCATGATTTGATTATTTTAATGAGTCGTTAGTTTCAAATATCGGTTTTCTGAGTGTCTCTTAAATCTCTTAAAGTATAGAGACAGAAAAAAGCTAGGCAAGAATTTAAGAGCTACTGACAGCAGAGAAAACAATGTTAATAACCTAAGTATAAATAGTAAGTTTTGTAGATTAAAATTCCACCTCTGAGAAATACCAAAGAAAGGGTATAGGCCTAGACAGCAACCAAGATTGATCATTTTGTCATGCTTAAATAAAAGACATAGAATTTCAGAATTCATATATAAAGTAATGAGGAAGTCATATCTAGATTGCTAGGAAAATAATAAAAAATAATTAGCCCTTTGGCGTACACAGAAAAAATTCTTTTCACAAAGCTGATAGTGGAAGCACCACGAGTGATTTGGGGAGAATATTTAGCACCTTTAGCGTCTCCATCAGGCCCCCACCAAAACCACCAAAACTTTAATGAAATACTCATTAAAGTACCAAGAAAAAAACAGGTTGTGTGTGTTTAAAATTCTTTAGCTTAACTGCTGGAAGGAAGAAACTAAGAAATTCGACAATATATTGCTGGAATAAAGGCTAGTTAGCACTTTTTCAAATGACATTCTATCTACATTCAGTTACCCTACAACCCAGTTAAGCATCTCATTTTTGTAAAATTAGATGAATAAAAAAGAAATAATAAATAGTTTATTTGTATTTATTTTCTGGTGGTCCCATCCCTAATCCCAAAAGCCAGCTGCAGAACAAGCCCCTAGCCCTTATTCCCAGCCCTATCTTCATCCCCTACACTTGCCTTATTACATAGTAATTCTGGAACAGTCACAGAGAGCTCATGTCTAGAAACCGCTTGTCCATCTTTTTAGCACACAACGCCTCACTGTCTTCAGAATAAAGTTCAAACTCTTTGGCAGGGCAGATAAAGCCCTTCATCAAATGTTCTCTACCCACCTTCTCAGCCTCATCCCTGTCACTCCCTGGGGTTCAGCCCCAACAGCTCCAAAACAACCTTCCTTGGGAAGCCTCTGCCCCACCAGTCCATTAATACTCCTCTCCTTGCTCCCCTAAACTACATCACGGTGTCACCTCACTTTGAATGATCAGGAGTGGCTCCCGAGGCAGGGTGAGCTCCCGGAAGTGGAGGGATTCATTTCTGCACTTCCAGGGCCAGACCTGGGCTGTGACCCTGGGACTCACACTTGATGAAACGGACTGGCCGAGGCCATCTGCACAAAGATGGGCGGCGGGGCAGAATAGGGGAGGTGGGGGACACCCAATCCTGTCTCCATGCCCCCTAAGGGCTTTTAACACCGAAGAAATCGCGGAAGCAAAGCGACATCATTACCCCTCATTTTACTTGGTCATGGTCCTAAGGATCTTGTTTTGCCCTCTCAGGTCCAAGCCGAGGCTAACAGGGGGATCCCCGCAGGGGCTGGTCTCCCTGCCCAGCAGCGCTCCTCCAGCACCCCGTCCGGGTCGTCCTGCCAGTACCCAGGCCTAGCTCAAGAGGCAGATTTCAGCTGGCGGCGCCCTCAGGGCCAGGCCCCCAGACTCCACCGGGCGAGCATCACTGAGCTTGCCAGGAGCCCAGGACCCAGCAAGCTCGCAGGCTCTTCAGGCCACGCGGGCCTCCAACGGCAGCAGCAGCAGCTGAACCTTCTGGTGCCTGCGCCTGCGCCTGCGCCTGCGCAGGAACTCCTGGTACCGGATGGCAACCAAGAGGGCGGGGGCGGTGGGGAGGGGCCGTGTGCGCAGACTCACTAGGGCTCTGCGGGCCACGTGGTCGGACCCGCTTGGTGTCTGGAGAAATGGCCCTTCCAAACTTCGCCTTCTGTTACTGACCCTTCCGGTGCATGTTGTATATAATGAGTGGCCAGGATCACTGATGCAACGTCAGTCCCTCACTTTCTCTGTCCTCAAAGGAAAATTGTAGCACAAGTGGCGCAAATGCATTTTAGGAGGTGTACCTGTTGAAAACGGCAGGTAGTTGGGTCGATAACTACCCTCCACCGTTTTTTTGTGTTTGTTTTTGTTTTTTGTGTTAAACGGAAGAAGCCAAGGAAGGAAATTAATGAAGAGACTATTTAGCGAGACACCGGCATGACTTTTTGATCCTCTTGCTGAGGTGAGTTTACCTTTCAGGTTACACCGGTATCAGTTTTCTGTTTGATGTGGAGAGTCGTGAAAACAATCTTTAGGAAAAGATGTGTAGAGAAGTAGAGGTAGCAGCCGGAGGATATAGAAGAGTCTGGTGTGGGAAGGTAGATGAGGAAGTCAGAGGTTGGGGGGAACCTTAAGCAAAAAATGTGATCTTAAATTAACTGACAAGTGCAGGTACTCCTATTATGCAATTAGCATGACTTACTGAGGCAGTAAAGTCACGGCAGAGCGGACATTCCTGCAGCCACAGAATGGCTTAATGTCATAAAGTCTCTTTTGTTCTAGGAAAATTTACATTGGTGCTTGGGAAAATTAAAATTCAAGCTTGGGATGTAAATATCTAGTGAGTGATAATGAGCAAAACGTTCAGAAACAGATTTTTCTTTTATAAGGAAATTACCTAAAGGCCGCTAAAAAACCCCTTTTTGCCAAAGGCAAATTACCAGTATATGTTAAAGCCACCAAGATCTTTTAGGATCATGCATAGCCTGAAAATCAGTTATAAACTCAGTAACTTTATTGCTAGCCCCACAGGTAGGTTCCTTGCATTCTGACTCTACAGTCCCCTCAATTGAAAGAAAAGAAAATATGTCCAGGCTGTTCTAATGCCTTTACGTCTTGTATTGGTCAGTGTATCACCAGGGGTGTTTGTTTTAGTGCTGTAATAAAACACTTCAGTTTCTAACATTAGGATTGTTGTTTTGTGCTTTACCTGTCTGAGCAGAGAGCCATCGGACAATATTAAGCATTCTATGCGCTATAGAAGAGGAACTCGCTTGAATGTGTTATCGATATCAGGATTATGGATTTTGTAGAAATGAGAATCAGTTTTGATGAGATGGTTCCCTATTGGAATTGGCTGCCATGATTGACTGATTGTTAAGAGAAGTGATTATCTTTTCTTTTCATTTAAGAAAGGAAGTTACCTTGGATTTGAGGATTTTCTTGGAGGGGGGGGCCAAATATGTACTCGTCTTTATTCAGCGAATACAATACATACTCATATGTACTCGGTGTGAACATAGGCAAGAATAGACGAGTAGGTCAAACTGTGGGATGGGCAAAGTTCCTTGGTTACTTCTTAATTCTTCTGATAATATCACAGATCAGTAAACCAAGTTTGCTTTTCTCAGTCGCCATAAACTGGGTTTAGAAATTGAGAATTAATTTCATTCTCGTTTTTGTCACTTGGTTCTCAAAACGCTGCATCCTTCAACAATAAAGAGGCAGTCAGTCATGGTATGACATCCAATATGACTTACTTTTTTTTTTTTTTTGACTTTTTAATTTTTGTCGTTTAAACTATTTTTCCATGCCGGTTATATTGTTAGTTTCTCTTGAACTGGTTCCAAGGATAACAAAGACATTACGAAGGTAACAAAAATATTATGAGGAAATGCGATGAGACCACTACGCTTCTTGATATAACGTTGTTAAGATCATTGTTGGGTCTTATTACAAGAACTCCACTGGCTATAAACCTTGATAGAATATTTTGTCGAAGTTGCTGTGAGCAATTTAATTTCCCTTATGTATAGGAGAAAACAGATAACTTCCTCTGGGTAAACATTAGGTTATTCTAGTAAGAAAAATGGAAATAAATCTGTATAACACTGGGGAAACTAAACAATTGAGTTTATTGTAGATATGCAATAAATATGTATATTTATATAAAATATAGTATTTATGTATATGGATACATATACTTGCACACATATATACTTATGTAGTAGATTTTAATTTCCATATAATTAGCATTATTACTTAAATTCAGTTCTTTAATGAGATGCTAATTAATAGCATAAAAATTATTTTGCCTTTTTTTCCTGCGTTTTCTATGTCCAGACAGTATGTTATGTGCTTGACGTGTGTTTAAAGGTAAACTGAGATACATTAAAAGTTTGAGGAGTTGAAGCAAACACTGATTTGAATTGGGCAACACAAACCGAAAAAAGGAGCACTCTGTTAGCAGGA